CTTGATTATCATTTAATGGCCTTCCAACTTCAAAGCCTGGCTGGTTGCTGTCTGGGAGAGTCCTTTGTTGGGAGTTGTTGGCTGACCCTCATTTATTCTTGTGTGGAATTCCCCTGCTTTTTGAGTCTGGCTCTTTATTTACTATCCTGATTTTCATTTTGAAATACTGGTAGCTAAATTTTGTTCATTTTTAGTTTCCTCCTTTCTGTTAAAATTGTCCACGTGTGGTTTCCAGTCTATGGATTTCAATGGCTTCTCTGTGTAGTCTGACACAGTAGTAGTTAGAGTAGTCAAGCATTCTGTGTTCTCAAATATTATGCTGTGTCCAGGTTGGTTCATCAGGTGCTCTGCTATGGCTGACTTCTCTGGTTGAATTAGCTTGCAGTGCCTTTCTTGTTCCTTGATTCGTTTTTGAGCAAGGCTGCATTTGGTGGTCCCTATGCAGACTTGTCCACAGCTGCATGGTATACGGTAGACTCCTCCAGAAATGAGAGGATCCCTCTTGTCCTTTGCTGAATGTTGCATTTGTTGGATTTTCTTAGTGGGTCTGTAGATAGTTTGTATGTTGTGTTTCTTCATCAGCTTCCATTTTAAATCATTTTACTTCTTTTAAAATAATGCTACTTCCTTTTAAATAATTTTATACAAAGCAGCCTCTTTCAGAGTTTTCAGAGAAAAAAAGAGAAACAATGAGTCCCGTGATGTACAAAGATCAACATAAAGACTAACATGTTTCTGATATTGTCATGGATAACAATAGCTGAAACTCACCTGCTCCTTGATAAGATGCTATTGGGGTGTTGTGTGGTTTCCAGTCTATGGCCATCTTTTAGCAGCATTTTCTCCTGACATTTCACCTGCATCTGTGGATGGCATCTTCAGAGATGCTAGATACAGGTGCAGGTGAAACGTCAGGAGAAAATGCTGCTAGAACAGAGTTATATAACCTGGAAACCACGCAACACCCCACTGATTCTGGCTTCGACAATATGAAGATGCCACTGCTGCACCTACTTTCCAGTCTCATTCCAAAGGTTTTTTGCCCTTTTAAAAAGCACTGGCCATGTCTTACTGGACAGAAGTGGCAAAGAGGAGCTGCCACATAACCAGGCAAGTGCAAAATGGAGCAGAAAGGAGGGTAGCTGTTGCTCCTACAGGACAAAAGAGCAGGGGATGGAGGCTGCAACAGTAGTAGTCTTTATGTGGATGAGCAAGGAGATGAGAGATGGAGGTGATGGGAGGGTATCTGGTAGACAGACAAGAAAAAAGATCAGCAGGTTGAAGCACAATTGGAAAAGGGGGAAGAGAGAGAAGTGGTGGGCAGCCATCACAGCATTGTGAGGTGGGGTGGTCTGGGATGGAGATGACTTGAGAAAGTCGCAGCATGATCCTCAATGTGGGTTGTACTGAGCAGCACATTTCACCAAACCTTGCATCCCACTGCCTGAAACAGTTGTCTCATGTTGAGTAACCATTGGGACATTCCTGCTTGGGAGCTGTAAATCATTTTGTCAAGTGAGTGGAGTATTGCTTCAATTGGAAGTTAATTGTTAATATGTTTAAGTGGGGTGAGAGGGAACAAATAAGAAAAGCAGCCACACGTTATTTCCTCCTGTCATTCCTGACATTTATCTTCTTCATTTCCCCCTGTCAATCAGATGATACTGCATCACTACCCTACAGAGGCTCCTCTGGTGTTCTTTTAGGTATTTTGTTTTTTTGCATCAGTAAAAAACAGCTCATGGCAAAACTCTTGGGCATGACAATATGTTGTCACCATCACCTTACAGCAATATTATTTACTCCCACAAAACACTTGTAAGGTAGGTTTGTTGAAAGGAAGTGATTAGCTCAAGAACACTGTGCAGTCCCAAAGACCATTCTTAATGATGCCCCACCCCTTCCAAAGTTTTGCATTTTTGGAAATTTGAAATATTCCCCAGCTATTAAAAACTATAACCTCTACATGCAGAGGCTGTCAGAAATATTAAAAATTAACTAGGTATTTTTAATTACAAAAATGTGAGTCAAGCACTGAAAGGGTTAAATGGATACAATGACTCAGCAAAAGCTGCAGTTCAATAAAAGCAGGTGTGCCTGTAGCTTAATAGCCCTCAGTCTGTGATAAGTCTCTCTGTGTTAGTAGGCCTCAGTATGGGTAGGCCTCAGTGTTAAGTTTGTCTCAGTGGGAGAGAGCCCTCAGTGTGAGAAAGCCTCAATGGGAGAAAAACCTCAGTGTTAGTAGGCCTCAGTATGAGTAGGCCTTCTGTGAGAAGCCCCAGGTTGAAGGCCATCATGTGTGAAGCTTCATTGTTAAGCCTGCTGTGTGTAAAAAGCTACTGTGTGAAACTTCTGTGTAAGTTGTTGTGAGAAGAGGTTGTGTGAGAGCAAAGCTGTTTGTCTGTGTGTAAAAGAAGCCCAGTGTGGAAGCAAAGAAGGAAGTATAAAGAACTTTGTGTTGTGGAAACCTTGTTTATGACTTTATGAAAAAAAAGATGCAGTTAGAAGTATTCACTAGACTAGATCAATTTTAGCTTAGTTTAGAAAGTTTTCTTACAATAAGTTCAGATTTTTAGCTTCTCTAAAAAGCTCAAATGCTCTATATCAGTGTTTATTCATACTAAGCCAAGAATTGATCATTATTAAACCACAATGTGAAATAACTATTCACTCATGCACACAATACAATCATTTCCACTTTGATCCTGCTAATCACAGGAGCCATAGAAAGGTAAACAAAACAAGCATGGAGAAGTTAGTATTATATCTGTAATTGTGGTTTATTGTCCTCAAATATATCAGAATAATAAAACAGCGTAAAACAGAAATAATTATTGATTTACAAATGCAGGCCTGTTTGGATGCAATAAACCACAATTCAAGATGCAGTACTAAACCATACACGTCTGATTATCTGTTCATGTGAACTGGATGACCAAAGTATTTTATTTGTCGTGTCAGAGCAACCAGTCCATTATATTACATTTCTAACAGAACAAAACAAACAAACAGATTAAAAAAACACAGATTTTGCAAACTTGGTAGTTGATTAAATGTCCTTTGACCAGTATCTGGCCACTTGGAGTGCCTCTGGTGTTGCTGCAAGAAGGTCCTCCATTGTGCATGTGGCAGGGCTCAGGGTGCATTGCAGCAGGTGGTCAGTGGTTTGCTCTTCTCCACACTCGCATGTCGAGGATTCCAATTTGTAGCCCCATTTCTGAAGGTTGGCTCTGCATCTCGTGGTGCCAGAGCGCAGTCTGTTCAGTGCCTTCCAAGTCGCCCAGTCCTCTGTGTGCCCAAGGGGAGTCTCTCATCTGGTATCAGCCATTGGTTGAGGTTCTGGGTTTGAGCCTGCCACTTTTGGACTCTCGCTTGCTGAGGTGTTCCAGCGAGTGTCTCTGTAGATCTTAGAAAACTATTTCTGATTTAAGTTGTTGCTGACTGATACCCAAACAGGGGATAAACTGGAGATGTCTCTGCCTTGGTCCTTTCACTATTGGCTGCTACTTCCCGCCGGCTGTCAGGTGGTGCAATACCGGCTAAGCAGTGTAATTTCTCCAGTGGTGTAGGGCGCAGACACCCCGTGATAATGCGGCATGTCTCATTAAGAGCCACATCCACTGTTTTAGTGTGGTGAGATGTGTTCCACACTGGGCAGGCATACTCAGCAGCAGAGTAGCACAGCGCAAGGGCAGATGTCTTCACTGTATCTGGTTGTGATCCCCAGGTTGTGCCAGTCAGCTTTCGTATGATATTGTTTCTAGCACCCACTTTTTGCTTGATGTTCAGGCAGTGCTTCTTGTAGGTAAGAACACGGTCCAGAGTGACTCCCAGGTATTTGGGTGTGCTGCAATGCTCCAGTGGGATTCCTTCCCAGGTGATCCTCAGAGCTCGGGATGCTTGTCTGTTCTTGAGATGAAAAGCACATGTCTGTGTTTTAGATGGGTTGGGATCAGCTGGTTTTCCCTGTAATAGGCAGTAAGAGCACCTAGAGCTTCGGAGAGCTTCTGTTCCACCATCTCAAAGCTCCCTGCTTGAGCAGTAATGGCATGATCATCAGCATAGATGAAGCTCTCTGTCCCTTCTGGCAGTGGCTGGTCATTTGTGTAGATGTTGAACATGGATGGAGCAAGCACGCTCCCTTGAGGCAGGCCGTTCTTCTGTTTCCGCCATCTGCTTCTCTGGCCCTGGAACTCAACAAAAAAGCTCATGTTTTGTAGCAGGTTTCCTATGAGGCGGTGAGGTGGTCGTCCTTTGTGATATTATACATTTTTCTCAGGAGGAGGCGGTGGTTCACAGTATCATAGGCTGCTGACAGGTCTATGAAGACAGCTCCTGTGATCTGCTGCCTTTCAAAGCCATCTTCTCTGTGCTGAGTCAGGTTCAGCACTTGCGATGTGCAGCTTTTGCCTTTCCTGAAGCCAGCTTGCTGTGGAATCAGACATGGGGTCTATTTTTTCCGTAATTCTATGCAAAATAAGTCTCTCCAGAACTTTGTAGAGGTGGCACAACAGGGAGACGACCAAAGTAAGAGTGAATGGATTGTCTATATGAGCTCACTAATAGGTTTTTAGGCCTGTTCCTGGGGCCTAAAGGAGCCTCCAGTGGCGCAGCAGGTTAAACTGCCGAGCTGCTGAACTTTCTGACCAAAAGGATTATAATTCATATCCAGGGAGTGGGGTGAGCTTGTGCTGCTAATCCCAGCTTCTGCTAACCTAGCAGTTCTAAAACATAGCAAATGTGAGTAGATAAATAGATACTTCTTCTGCATGAAGATAACAGCACTCCATGCAGTCATAATAACACCATTAAAACAACGGATTTACTTTTGTATTGACTCATCATTCAACCATATATTCAACAGACCTACCCTACTTGATACTAACCAAGAAGATTCCAACCATTGTGCCTTAATTAAGCCAAAAAGGCTACTAACACATGCACAATGAAACACAGTATTCTCCAATTATGACAGGAGGAACTGGCAACATCGAAACGTATTTTGGTGGAAATCTTTTATTGACCACTTTGATGTATCCATTTATACATCTCTGGTACAAATGCCATCAACCTGCCACAAAGCATTAAAGCACAATAAACCAAAAATGTCCATTAAACATGTACAGCTTTTGATTTTTTGTAATTTCATTACTGAAAGACTATTTCGGCTGCAATCAGACAAGTATTTAAAAAAGAAAAAATCAGAACACCCATCCTGTAAAAATGCAGGTGCCCGTATTAACCGTAATTCCAGGAAAAGTCAGAAGAGAAAAACAGTTCAGGTGAAGAAAATGTGGCTCAAGTCTTTGGATATTTTAAAAAACAAAAAAAAACCTCTCAAAAAAATCACCTTTCCAGAGGACCTGGCCTTCTTGGGATTTCTGGGAAGATTCTTGTAAACACCTTGCAAACATAAAAAGCGACGCCTAAAAAGATACTGGGGTGGTGGGTGATTGGCAGTTGTGGGAGAGAAAGGAGGACAAGTTATGTCTGGTGCAGTGTGACACCATGGAAACTGCCAGAAGGCCCATTAAACTGATGTATAGTATCTGGAGTGCTGCCAGAAGTACTGGAATGGTATCCCAATACTACCCGTCTGCATTTCTTAGAAAGACAGTCACAAATAAGAAGGCTTCTAACCTGTAACTGAGGACAGACAGCACTGATCCCAAAGTGGCCAAATGCAAAAAGCCTACGAGGAGATGCCTTGTTACATTTCGTGTAGGAGGTTTACATAGCAGGGGCACACAAAACAAGACAGTGGTATGAGTTGACAGTCTTCTAGAAGGCTAGAAAACCTGTTAACTCTGAAAACCCTAGACAAGCGTCAACATGTCAGAGAACCCACTTGCTTGGCAAAGGACCAAATTTGCTTTGTGTTTGTTGCATGCTAACATTTCCTACGGCAGGACTGCTCTGGCTTTATGCATTCTGCATTTCTTTGCCAATCTTGTAGCTGAGGATTTTGTTCCAGTCAATCTTAGTGCGGGTGACGGGCAGCTGGCGGCGTAAGGCTTTGAATGTGGTGTCTGACATAGTCTGATAGTTTTCACTGATTGCTGTCTATAAACAAAAAAGAGGGCAAGAAATTAGAATTCTAATAATTGCATTCAGTTTTTGCTTCATAAAAACTGGTTACTCCCTAAACAATGTTAACACTCAGCCAAGGTGGTCTTTCCACAATGATGTAATCACTCCCTATTTGCATTTTTAGCTTCTCATAAACAAAAGATCTCTGAGTACAACAATTTAAGTCTACCAACAACACAATAATAACCAAGAAGCATAATATGAAACCAAGAAACAATTGCTAGCAGAGAACAATGAATTCAGTTTAGGTAACCAAATTAAAGCCAGTAGAGAGACAGAAGTACAAAGCAATGCATGCTTTGGGGTAGAAAACCACCCATGAAATCATACATAATCCAGCAAAGGAAAGAGTATTGCAACTATTTTCCAAGTAATCTTGTTGTGAAACAAGAATTAATGAACCAGACAATAAATCAACATGTTTAAACCTAGACCTATTGAGTGTGTCATACATATTAACTTGAGTGTGGTAAATAGCTGAAAGGCAGAGAATTTCACCTTCTGAGGCTCAGCCCACCTCACTCACTATTAGAGCTGCTTGGAGAAAAAGAAGTGTGGGTGACAGTTGGGTAACTATAGTGTTTTAGTTTCTCTTCCACATCCCAAATCTCTATTGTTGTTTCTGTGCCCTAAGTGAGTATCTCAGGCCCATTCTGCACTGCCATATAAAATCCAGATTATCTGTTTTGAACTGGATTATGTGGCAATGTAGACTCATATAAACCAGTTCAAAGCAGATAATGTGGATTATCTATTTTGATAATCTGGATTATATGGCAGTATAGACGGGGCCCCTCCTTCTCTTTATATAAAACTCCAATATTTCATTCAGACCTAGGGACAAACTCTGATGGTGAATTGTCTATTATTTCTTTCAGTGCTACTCTGGTACATCTAACCCCACAGCTTCTAACTGAAATGGCTTTAGTCTAAGTTAAGGGGCAGGGGAAAGGAACATTGCCTAGGGAACTGACACCAACTATAAAATCCTCCCAAAAAACTTAAATCTGGAGTATGACCAGAGTAATTGAACTTTTAGTGTATGAAAAGATGTCACGTAACACTATATTTTGCCCATAATACTGTAACAATATGTTTGTTTATCAAACTAATTGTATAGAAACACCACCCCAATGTTTCTAGAAGTAGGGTAAGGGAGTATCTCATGTTGCTGTTATTCCAGGGCAGGGGTTCCCAAAGTGTACTTCGTGGAGCCCTTGGGGCTCATGAGTGATTGTGAGGGGCTTTGCATCAGGTGCCGCCTTGCTGCTTTCCTTCTCCTCGGCCTCAACTACCACCTCCTCCTCTTCCTCCAATAACTAGCTGCTGAACTAACCAGATATTTACAAACTCTGCCGCAAGAAGCAGGCACATTGATCACATTAATGTTCAACGTACATTGTAACATTTTTCAAACTTTTTTTCAAAGTAGTTGTTATATCATTTTGCAAATTTAGTAATTAATAATATTGTCTCCAGTTCTTTATTACTGTTTCTTTTATTATTATATACCTTATTATTCATACTTCCATATACATATCATGTGTAATATGCCTCATAGAACATAGGCAGATAGAACTCAACACTAAACATTTCTTGGGGCTCCGTAAGAAACTTTGTTTCAAAAAGGGCTACGTGGCTGAAAAGGTTTGTGAACCCTTGTTCTAGGGAATGGTGTGAAAGTCCTGGCTGCAAGATCTCTGCTAAAATTAAACATACCAGATTATCCTTATCAAAGTAATCTTCAGTTCTTTCATAGAAAAAAAGATAGGATATAAACACAGTAAAATGATTGAAAATTCTTCCCCTCCCAAATGCAATATTTTTAAGCATATATTCAAAACTTAACTGAGCAAGGTTCTTACCTGATAATCATTTTCTGCATTTTCAATTATTTTAATAAACTCCTTGGCTGTTTGGACATCATTCTACAAATATGAAGAGGGAACAATTAGTTTAGCATCAGATGGTGAATTTCAAAATATTCCATACTAAAAAGAGACATTACAGTTCCTACTGTTTGAACTGTAACTGTAGAAACAATACTGATCTTTTAAAATAATCATTAAATCATTTTCCAAACCACTGGATGATATTTACTGGCATCCTTCTCCTAGTTGAATAATATTTGTAAACAAAGTGGATTCCCCTTCAATGCATACCTCTCAAATTTGGATTCACTGTTTAAGTTTTATTACTGTACTACGCTAGGCACTCCCCCAACTGTTTTAGACCAGTTGTCTTTCTAAGAACTCAAAGCTATTTCTTGTTACTTCCCAATTTCAAAATGGCCCCATAATAGGTCATGGGGGTACAACAGAAGCTGGTACAACAGCCCCCTATAGCTACCAAAAGTAATGCAAAATGCTTTTCAGTCATTAAAAAAATAAATTGGGTTTGTGGGAGAAGGTGCAGAACGGCCAGGCCTGGTGCATGTGGTTGTATGACATATACATCCTAAGAATTATTTATTACTTGCCTGGTCCTCTGAAGACTCTTAAGGCATTAATCACCAACTGAGCAAGAAAAAGAAATGGGTGCTATGTTTGGGAAGGGTATTTGACATGACTAAAGAGCAGTGGAGACATGGTAATGGACCCAAAGAAAATTTCACTTTTGATATCTAGACTTGCATAGCAGTTAGTCATACAATCTTTTGGTCCCGGGAGAAGTGCACAGGCACAGACTTTACCACTGTAGCTCTTGGGATAAGACCTGGAAGAAGCTTCACAACTTCAGGAACACATCCATGTTGTGCTTTATAAATATGAAGCATAAAAGGGATTTTACCCCATAAAGGACAGAGAAGATATCTCTCAAGTACAAGATAACTCTGGAGAAACTATTCTGCCTGCAATAGTATCTTTTCCCCATACTTTCGTCTGTATAAGCATGGCACTGATTATGGTGGAGATTCTCCACTATAAATGGCATTCACTGCAGAAATGGCCATTTTAGTTAAAACTCTGAAATGGAAGGTAGTAAGCAGAACTGCATGCAGTAGCATTAGCCAAAATTTTCAACTCACCGAAACAGTTACAGAATCCTGTATATCTTTGTGACTAACCAGTTGTACATTACCATCCTCATAGTAATGCACCTAAAATAAAAAAAGACCTAGGTTAAGATTTAAGTGCACTGTCCTGCTGAGAATCAATAAGTGACAAAAATCATGGTCTACTGAATAATTTAAAGCAATGCTAAATACATTGAAATTATAGCAAAAACACACTTTAAAATACTGATCATTAGGAATCACCATAAGCAGTTCAGAATCTTAATATTTACTGTCTTTTATGGAAAGTTGTTAATTTCCACTACCTATAAGTGTGAATAGCATATAGGGCTCCACTACAACAATGCTATTCAAGGTGAGAGCCATCAACTGCAAATCTCTGAAAAAAGAAAAATGTAGCCAGTAGACACAAATATGGTACTGGTTCCTGGCACTTTAGAAAAGTATAACTGCTGGTCTCCCACATCAGACAGCTTAGAAACAATGCACTAGAAAGCTTACAATTCTTTAATTACAAAAAGATAAGAAAAAACAGATGGAGCACTTGCAACAAACATGGCCATTTTCCTCCCGACAGTTTTTGCATGACCAAAACAAAAACAAGCAATAGCCCAAGAAACCACACACCTCTGACATGATACTCTACACATTTATGAGATTTGTTACAGAGAAATTATATGCCCACAAACAACGATACACAAAGGGTTGCTGTGAGTTTTCCAGGCTGTATGACCATGTTCCAGAAGCATTCTCTCCTGACGTTTCGCCCACATCTATGGCAGGAATCCTCACAGGTTGAGGTGTTTGTTGGAAACTAGGCAAGTGAGGAGGAAGCAAACTTGTTTTCTGCTGCCCTGGAGACTAGGACGCAATGGAACAATGGCTTCAAATTACAAGAAAGGAGATTCCATCTGAACATGAGAAAGAACTTCCTGACTGTGAGAGCTGTTCAGCAGTGGAACTCTCTGCCCTGGAGTGTGGTGGAGGCTCCTTCTTTGGAAGCTTTTAAACAGAGGCTGGATTGCCATCTGTCGGGGTGCTTTGAATGCAATATTCCTGCTTCTTGGCAGAAGGTTGGACTGGATGGCCCATGAGGACTCTTCCAACTCTATGATTCTATGATTCTGGAATGTCCAGGGTGGGAGAAAGAACTCTTGTCTGTTTCTCCCACCCTAGACATTCCACAGATATATAAACTTCACTTGCCTAGTTTCCAACAGACCTCACAACCTCTGAGGATGCTTGCCATAGGGGTGGGCAAAACGTCAGGAGAGAATGCTCCTGGAACATGGCCGTAAACTCACAGTAACCCAGTGATTCCAGCCATTAAAGCCTTCAACAACAAACTATATACATATTTTAAAATAGTAAATGGACAACACCCCCCCCCCCCAAAAATACCCTCAAAAAACAAAAAAACAAACAAAACCCATGAAAAGTAGAAAAAAATACAGAAAGACAGTTTAGTCAATTAGGGGGATGTATAAAATGCACAAATTAAACCACACATTAGGAAAATGCAGAAAAGTATGTATGAATATCAATTTGAGAGGGAAAAGAAAGTACAGCAGGCTAATATGAATAAAGGATGGAATGGTTTATGAAAGCTGGGGTTGGAGAAAAACAAAAAAAAAAATCAAGAATGACTTTTCACTGCTACAGTTGTTACCTTACACTAAAATTATGTTTCTATCACTTTCATACCAGGAAAACAAGCAAATGAGTCCACTGAATTTTCAGCTCTGGAGGTTGAGAGCATAGATGTGTGCCAAAGCATCACTCAATCCATCCATAGTAATCTCATAGAGTTTTTGTTGTTGTTGTTGAATCAGACAAACATAAATCAAGGAAAACATTGCTGCATTTACTGACAATATTTCCATTTAGTTTAACTGACCTGGATTTTGAGCACTGCAACTACCTGAGCTGTGGGTGGTGTGATGGTAAATTTCCATTCTGACCTCCATCGCCCATTCCTATGCAAAAACAGAGAAGACACTGGCACAAAAGATCATTTTAACAAGACAGTGGATTGTCCAATAACTTTATTTTTGGACGATTCATCTGGAATCCAGAATAGATGATAACCTTCACAAACAGTTGAAAACTGTCCTGATTATAAATTGAGAAAAGATAACTTTTCCAGCTGCTGTGGTTAGCTAGAATGTCATGGGCACTGTTTAGTTCAACAAAATAGCACTCCCATCCAATGTACAAGGACAACTGCACAGATTTATTCCAGATGTGACCTTTTCCCCTTTAGTTCAAGGAAATCTACTAGAATTTCTCCAGGTGATTTAATGTACTTTGGCAAGGACTCCAGACTAATGATCGTTTAACAAATGCAGTAGGAATCTCCTGCGTTAAATTCTTTCCTAATAAGAATTTTTAATACATGGTCCATACCATCTTCATTTGACTCTAGACTAACAATTGCTTAACCATGGCAATAAAGAATCCTCTGTGCTAAAATCTCCTGCACCAGTTCTTCAATTCAAGATGCATGTCATTGTCACCTGACTCCTGAATATGGATCTTAGTATTTTAGCAAAATTAAAAGTATAGTAAATCTGGAAAACCAAAAGTCTGTCAGTTGTATTGGATAACATTTAAAGCTTTTGGGTTACGGAGTGATTCAATTGCTTGTGATTCAAATGACTGTTTACATTGAGCATGAGGATTTTTAAAAAGGCAAGCATGAGGATTATTTAAAAATAATCTGGGATCTGATTGTAATGTATTAGGACCACTCCAGGAGAGAGGATAAATCCATAGGGATTTTCTTCTCAAGGAAATAATAATAATAATAATAATAATAATAATAATAATATCATCAACAACATCAACAATTTTATTTTTATACCCCGCCACCATCTCACTGAAGGGACTCAGGGCGGCTTACATGGGACAAAATTGCCGTAAGACAATAAACAAACAATCTATCAAATAAAAACACAATTAAAATAAGAATATAATCAAATGGAGCATTTGTCAAATTAAAAACAAAGTTAAATAGACATAAAAGTATAAACCATTAGCTTTAAAACTCCACCCAATCAATACTCAAATCCAGGAACCAGGCTACTAAAATGGGCATGACCCGGCTATCAAAAGGGCTGGGCATGGGAAAGCGCAACAGCAAACTATAGGGCTGCGGAATTGAGCGGGTTAAAGAGAGCAACATCCTATCTGGTTAACTAGGGACTGGGCATTTATAAATGGGGCTAATTATTCTTGAATGCTTGCTGAAACATCCAAGTTTTCAGCTTCCTGCGAAAAGTGGGCAGTGTGGGGGGCTTCCTTGATCTCCCCAGACAGGGAGCTCCAAAGTTGAGGGGCCACCACTGAGAAGGTCCTCTCCCTCGTCCCCACCAACCATGCTTATGATGGTGGTGGGAGCAAGAGAGGGGCCTCCATAACGGATCTTAAGAGCCCACGCCGGTTCATGCGGTCATGAAGATAGGCAGGGCCTGTACCATTTAGGGCTTTGTAGGTGATAACTTACATATCATCTTCAGAGCAGGGATTCTGATAATTATATCTGAATTTATGAAACATACAACTTAAAGACACAGGTGTATTTTGGACCATATGGTACTTTGGACCAAAGAACATTAGATCTGCTTCTGATGAATGTGGAACTTGAATAGAAGGTAGCTAATAGGTAAATCCAGATAGTTCTCCTTTCCTAGCTGACATTAAGGATAAAGTGGACTAATGAGAATAATATTTGCCACAGTAGAAATTAAAAAGAATTATTAATTATTAGAGCTCCTTGCCCCACCCCAGCCATTCCACAGATATATAAACCCATTTTTCCTACTTCCAACAGACCTCACAACCTCTGAGGATGCTTGCCATAGATGCAGGCGAAACGTCAGGAGAAATGCCTCTAGAACATGGCTCTATAGCCCGAAAAAACCCACAAGAACCTAAAAAGAATTATTGTCTAAATACTTACCAGAAGTTTTTGGGCTGAAACTGGTGACTCTCAATGCATGCAATGACTGTTGGTTGCCCATCTACAATTCTACTGTAAACCTATGTCACAAAAATATTTACAAAAATAAGGAAATAAACATATTACAAATTCTGTCTTTATAGCAACGAAGTGAGAGGTATTTTTCTGTGAACAAATTGGTCCTCACCACCTCACTGTTGTCTTTATATTAGAATATGGTTGTAATTTGGCTAAAGATCTATACTGTTTGCTCTTATTTACAGTGATGGCCCTTTAAATACTACAGCAACAGCCTTTTAAAAACCCCTGGAAAAACAGCTATTATACTATTGCTATGCAATCTGAAAACACTATTCCTTGGTCTAACTCATTTCAAATACCACAGGGATTAAAATAAACAGCTTGATTTCCTGAAAGCTGTTGTATCTTACATGTGCTACCTGTCCCTTTTCCACCATTCTGGAATTTTCTCCCAACATATTCAAGGCCAATGCATTTAAAATATTTGACAGGCACTTTATATGATTTAAGTATAAATCTGTCCATGTGGTTTATCCATGTCCTTCCAGGGAGAACAGAGGAGAGGTTTCAGATGCGTTCAGAAAACATATTGAGGGAGCTGGGCCTAGAAAATATGTCCCATGGTTCATTCATTCAATATTCATATCTCTCTATATATGTTATGTGCCAGCAAGTAAAACCTGGACTTATGATGATCCACGAATGAGGATTTTTGAGTGCCCTTGTTATCAGCTGCCTGGTTGAAGTCTTGTAAACTCAGAGCTATGGCTTCCTTGATATGCCAATCAACCTGTAGTGTGGTCTCCCTCTTTTCATACCACCTTCCACTTTACGAGCATTATAATGTCTTCCAATGAGTCATGTTATCCCAAGAAATGTCCAGAGCCCAGGCATAAATGCATAAACATTTAAAATGCCCCATGCCAACACAGAAAAGGTAAGCTGTTAATAACATAAGATTAAGTATTGCTGCTCTTTACATTCACTGCCATAACAAGATTATGTCCTCAAAGGATGAGTTTAGATACTTAACAGTACAAAATCCATGTGGATAATGATCTTTCACATATGTCCTTAATGCATTGTCGCAGGCATCCCTCCAGGATTTCAGCGCTGCCTCTGTGTCCTCTGGCTGGGGATCACTTCCTTCTTTCCTTAAATGATCAAACTTAAAGGAAAGCTTGTTCCTTGGATCTAAAAATCGGCCATTACCAAGATCGCCATGTTCTGTGATTAAGACCTTAAACAGAAAGGCAAGCCCACAATTAAAACACAGACAAACATAGGGAAGAAGCATTTTCTTTTAATGGGGACTTTGTTCTAGCTTCAGGGGATTTTTAAAAAAATAAAATACTTTCGATGCTTTTCAAGAACCTTAGTAATTGTTTGATTGTTCCAAAGGGATATAACTTCCTCTGACATTCTAAGCAGAAAGTGATCTTACTACCCAAAAAGATACATACTGAGTGCTTCTTGCCTAGTTTCACTACAGCAGTGGTAGGAACCATGTGGACTTCCAGAGGTTGCTGGACTGCAACAGTCCTGGCCGATATAGTCAATTATAAGTGGGTTAGTAGTTTTACTCTTAACAACAACTAGTGGGCTCCATGATGCTCATCCTTGACAGAGGCCTCTTCCACATCACTGTATAAAATCCAACATTATCTGCCTTGATATTCTGGGTTATATGGCTGTGTGGAAAGACCCTTGGAGCTCAGTTTGGGCAATATTGCATATGCAAATAAGAGATAAAACTCCCACATAAGTATTTTTAATTTAAAAAAGGAAATGGACCTCTCAGCCATTTAGGCCCTTTCTACACTGCCATATAAAATCCAGATTATCTGTTTTGAACCAGATTATATGGCAGCGTAGACTGATATAATCCAGTTCAAAGCAGATAATCTGGAAGGGGCCTTATGTGGAAATATCTGTTCACTATAGTTTAATGCAGAACTTCTCCATTTGAAGAGCCACTACCTGTATGCACTGTTTGCCCAGCTCTACAAGGTGAAGAGGTATTTTTTAGAAATTTACACAACCCAATTCCTAAAGGCTTTAGGATAAAATTATTATTTTCCACCTTGGGGAGCACAAGTCTGCATCAGAAGCGGCCACTTAAATGACATGTGTGACGACCTTTAGTGATTTCTATGTGAACACACATTTTCTGAGCATAATTGGAAGGGAAAGCAAGCAGATCAGGGGCCAATTTGTGCATAATTATTACTCTGTACCCAGATTTCTGTAGAAAAAAATCTTAAATGTTTGACTGCTCATAAACTTCCATAGAATATGCCCTCAGTAGGTCACTGACCTACATCTGACAACATATGCCCTCTTTAAACATTTCCTACATGCTCTAGTACAACTCTATGGTATGTTTAACCAGAAGTTGAAACATCGAGACTCTATGGAATCCTTCTGCTTGAAGTAATTGGTTCAACAGGGCTTGCTTTTATCCATGATATTCACCAACCATGGTGAATTGGGGAGCATATCTTCTGAAGATATAGAGGTTGTATCATACACAAATAGAGTCGGAGGAATTTTTATTTACCTGATCATCATAACCATCTATCTTCACGGGTGTAAACTGATCCATGTTATACTGGGCAAATGCACTGTCAGAGAAGAGTAAGAAGTAAATGCAAGATTTTGACGTTATAGAAATACATAAAAATAACTCCAATGACTTCAAAAGTATTTATATAGATATGACCTTGGAAGAATATTTTCCTCTGCAGAAAGAACATATATGGCTTTCATAGATGAGTCATTTTAGTACTGGGAATCATTATGCATAGTGTTTTTCTCTCTCTTTCTGTTTCAAGGTTTACTAATGTGAGTCATGGAAACCTAACTAAAGTCTCTGAAGATTTTAGCACAGTATCATTATGAACTTTCTGGACTTCTACTAAAGGACCTGCACAATCAGTAAAATCCACTGACAAGATAACACAAAGATTATAACAAAAGATTTGACAAAAACTCAAGGATACATGTTTTATTAATTTTATTTGTGATAATTTTGAAGATTTTGTGATTAAGATGACTGTTACTAATTAAATATGTCTCAATTAGAATAAAAAGGGTTGCTTCAGAAGATAAGCTTTTTCTTTGTATAGCATATCCTAATGGCACATCATAATTCCAAGTCTCAGAAGTCTCCTGTGAAGCATAGGAAATGCTACAAAAGAAATGCAAGCTTACAATTTCAATGCTCATGTAAATCCAATTATACACGCACCGATCCTGACCTTTAAATACATGCTTTTTGAAAGAACCATAGCTTGCAATTCTAGTTATTTTTAATGCATTGATAGCCAAAAAGAAAAACCCACACACTTCTCTTGCCAATGGTCCATCTGTTTATAAAATCAAGTAGGATCTGATGCCACTTATTTATTTATTTATTTATTTATTTACAGTTCTTATATTCCGCCCTTCTCACCCCGCAGGGGACTCAGGGCGGATTACAGTAAACACATATATGGCAAACATTCAATGCCAGTTTGACTTCCTGCTGCTGTCTCTGCTCAGGGTGAATAAAAAACAGGAGCAACCAGGGTTGAAGAATCCTGAGCCAGCACAATCTCACTACTAAAATAATTACCACTTCTCCAAGATTTACAGAAGTTCTGCTAGTAACTATGCTATTTAAAACAGCAATGAACATTTCTTTCTTTCCATTAAGACTGAAACACACAGACGTCCTCTTAACAATCAATCATATCTACTTCATTTTTTTAAAAAAAGTAAGCAGTACTTGCTAAATTAAAACATTCCTTGAAACAATAAATCATATCCATCACATTTAAAAAAATGTAAGCAGTACTTACTGAGCTGCCCCTTCTCTAAGAAGATTGTCATTGTTAAGCAGCAACCGTACATCTAAGGGGGAAAATCCATATAGATTAGAAATACTTCCACCGTGTTACTGCAATCTCTACTGGCACTGCAATAAACATTAGACTAACAACCTGTTTAGCATGTATCACCAACAGATCTCAGAGTATCTTGCTCCTCTCAATGAGTTTTAAAATCTCTTATTAAAAACCTTTGAAAGGTTAACATATAAGCAAAGAAAGGGTATTTTAAAAATGATAGATACGAACAACTATCTAGACACTATGGTTGAAAACAATTTGTTCTTTATAGTCTGCCTTTAGTCGTTACATATTTTGGAGACTAATATTTTGTTATCATAGTCTATTGTCTCAATGCTAGATTTTAAAGAGTAAAAAAAATCTATTATTTTTTCAAAATGGGAAGTTGTCAATAATGTACATATTTTTAGATAAAAGTACAGCACAAAGAGCCGAAAGGTTGCCAAGTCAGAAGACCTTACTCCTGTGATTGTGACAAAGCTGTTTGTGTGCATGCATACACAGAGAGAACTCAGAAATAAACATATCAGATGACAAAACAGTGTAGTATGTTAGATTATGGGTCAGTTAAATTCTGAAAATCATAGAGGAAGAAGATGACAAAATGAGAGTACTACTTCTACAGTACTCCATAAAAATATGCTTTTCTTTCATGATACTGAAGGTAACAGGAGCTAAGTGTACATATCTACTGGCATCATAAAAATGTTCAGTCAGCAAGCCTGTACAGTTTCATCTTTCTTCTTTCAGGCACTGAATTAAGGAGCAGAATAACAGATATTTGTGGACTGGACATAGTACTTATTTCCAGAAAAAAATATAGGCCGGTATGTGGATAATTGAACATGAGTGAAAAGTCCAGTGAGTACTAACGTGGTCTAACAGTAAAGAGCCAAGGAATCATACAATAAATCCCTAATTCAGCCATGACACTCAGCGGGCAATCACTGTCTCTCAGCCTAGCTTCTCTTAAAAGAAGGGTACAGGTTAAAAATGGATTGCAGGAGGAAGAAAATACCGAGGTATGCCACCAGTATGGTGTACACATTCAAGCACTGGACTACAACTCTGGAGACCAGGCATACTTGCTATGGAAATATCTTGGACAAGTTACATTTTTTTAGCCTCATAGGAAGGCAAAGGCATCAGTCATGAGTTTGGAATAGCATGAGAAGTTGAAAGCACAGAAGGAGGAAGACTAGGCCAGACTGAATCAACCATATTGCAGGACCATGGTGCACTGAGCAATTGGTAGGACCTCTGAGTAAGCAATGTATGAATAAAGTGGAAGTTGTGCCTCTTATCTCTCTGTGAGATACATTTAGGTTTTGCACTTTTTAAAATTAAAAGCCACTTCTGTTGTAGAGTGAAGTTCATATATGGTTGATCATTTCTATAGGACATAATTTTAACAAAAGGCTGCATTCGTATCAGCAATTCCATTATTGCTAAAGACATTCAGGAACTAAAGACATTTTAAGGGTGATTTGATTTCTAAAGAACACTGTGTTCTAATTTACAAATGTCCTATTCCCCTTCAGCAGTTCCTTCCTCTTAAAAGAGCTTAAAATTGTTTTCTAATTGTAGGCTATAAACATTCAAGGCTTGGTTTTTACTAGTAAAATGAAGAACCCGTTATGAATAATTTTGTTCAATTAGATATTATTTTACATTACAACATTAGTCCAATCTCAAACAGCACAGTCAAAAATGTATATCAATTACTTACCATTAAATACTTCATTGAATTCCCCAGGTGGTGCATGGGTGATGAATTTTGCAGCTATACGCACCTGCAGAGAAATCATTGGGATTAGTGAGGAAACATATTCAGTGGTTTTTAAATTTGTCTTTTCCAGCAAAATCACACAGCATGCAAATTAATAGGCCAAACTGATCCATTTGTGATTGATTCAATGTTCTTGATTGTTCGAGTTTGCCCAAACCAATTAGTAGAAATCATAATTTCTTTTGGCACCAAGCATGTTCAGCAAGTACTATCAAACTATTCATTAGTCTGTTTTATAGTTTGGGCAGAAAGAGGGACAATGTAAATGTTGGCATCTATTTTTTAAATAACTGCATATAAGGTCCAGTGTTTCACTCACAACATTAATATACAGCAAAAGATTTTGAAACTCTCTAATCTTTATAATTTTATATGTTCAGAGACAACAATGCTTCCAGGATTAAATGAACAAACAATACATGTATATGGCTGAATATCCAAACATAGAAACATTTTATGGACTTGGATCTCTATTAGTGGTATCCACATTAAGATCCATATTCTGCATTTCACATCACACGAACATTCCCATGGGGATATGATCAGGCCTCAGTTTTCCTACACTATCTATTCAACATGAGTCAGAACTTTTAATGTAGCAGTTCTTTTGCTACCAGAATTTGCTATCAGCTGGTGTCAAAGTGCTCTACTTCTGTTTTAGTATAGAATTTATTCAGGGTGGGCCAAAAGCTACAAAGGAGTTTTAATATGTAATACCATATTTGTTCGAGTCAAAATCACATTGCTAAAATTGAGGTGTGCATTAGATTCGATGGAGTGTTAGGATCACACACCTTAAACTATCTGCGCTTTTGGGCAAGAGATTTCAGCTTGGGACAGAGGAAGGACAAGCAGCGGTGGCCCGTGAAAATGCTGGTGGGAAGCTGATGGTGACCACAAAAAGGAAGGTGGGAAGGTCTGATGGGAGCAACTTGCCAACAGCCTTTTCCTAGCCACCACCACCTGGCATTACATTCAACAGCAAATCCTTTTTCTTTTGTAATGCACACTTTGAAAACTGAGGTGCATATTACATTTGATGGTGTATTAAAATAGAGTAAACATGCTACCTCCTTTTTTTGTTAATGATACCATAGCATCTATATACAATATATTCGGGAAATTACATTACATTATAGGTAAAATCTTTGCAAAATGCTTTCTAAAATGTATGAAAACTTCATGAGCTTTTATGACTTTTGGCCCATGCTGCATAATCATTGGTAATTGGTTTCCTCAAGATAAATAAGATTTTTTTTTTTAAAAAAAAAATCATGAATTATGAACCTACAGCATTTCTGCCTCTCATCTCTAGAACATAAAGGTTTCTAGGTATCTCAGTGCCTATCAGCAAACTGGCCACTACATTTTTGGGTGTTTTAACATGCACCTATCTACAGGAAGACAAAGGAATGAAATATACTGTCCTACTGTATTCAAGTTGTTTGCGCAACTGATAAAACATTAAGACAGCCTTAAAAAAGAGATTGCTCAAGAAAAACTATTAGAAAGACATCTCCCACATAACCTTCCCATAGGCTCTTCAGAGCACTACCTTAGATGGCTGAAAGCCTCTTTCAAACTATAACATGTGCTTTTATTAGAAAGTGCATCTGTAAGCAGTGAGCATGACACTCTGGTTCAGTTGAAGCACTGCTACAAATACAGTACTCAGAGAACATATTACTTTGTCTAATAAGCACTAGGATCCATTTCAAGGGTAGGAGTCTAGGATCCATCCACTCTGCAAAGCATTTGATTCTCAGTTTTAGTATCCTCTCAGGGGTATGCAAATATGATAATCAGCCAAAGTGAAAAGATGAAACGCCAAAGAAAAAAAATACCACTTCAGATTAATGCACATAAGCAATGGTAATATACGAAAATACAGAACTGTAGCACATGTTCCGCGCAGTACAACTGGAGAAAAACAAGTAGGTCAAGTAGAATTTAAACTCTTTTTGTGAATGGCTCTCCTTGTTTTGTGATCTATGGTCAAATAAAAGAAAAAGCTAAAGAGTTTATCTTCTTTATCAGACTCCAGTGTTTTAATTTCTACTCTTTCCAAGAAATAGGTGTAGCAAAACAGTCAAGATAACTTAGCTATATCCATGTTTACAGGAAATGATAGGGTGAAAAAACCATGTAGGCACTGAAAAAAACAAACATTTACTTAGCATCATACAACTCAGCTTTCTTTTCTTAGAAAAAATAGGATGGCTATGACTGATTTTTTTTAATGAACACCTTTGGGTATGCAGATTATTCTTTCAATTTTCCTCTCTGGCATACATATACAATAGAATGGATGCAAATTGTGATATGAATATAAGATTCCAGCAACAAAGGTAGGAAGCTTTTTTTAACAGTCATTTTTTCTCAACTTAACTTAGAAATTATTATTTAAATAATGCAAAATATTTCCTTATAGACTTGTAACAGACTATAGGATCAACCCAGTCCAATCCTTTGCTATGCAAGCACATGCAATCAAAGCACTCTAACAGATGACCATCCAGCCTCTGTTTAAAAACATCCAGAGAAGGAGACTCACTTTGAGGCAGTGTATTTTATCAAAGAGCTCTTACTGTCAGGAAGTTCTTCTTACTAGTKAGGGCGAAATCCCTTTTCCTACACTTGATTCCCTTAATCCATGTTGAAAACTTGCCTTCTTTCTCCTCAGTATMACATCTTTTCAAATATCTAAATATGGTTATCATGTCTCAACCTTCTCTAAGTTAAACACACCCAGCTCTCTAAGCATAAACTGTTGCTTAAAGGAAGGCATGCTTATCAGTGTAAGAAAAGTCATATACATGGTCCTAAAATAATCTCATGTTTCCCTAAAGCAGTGGTTCTTAACCAGTGGGCCATGAGGATGAAAATCTWGTCCGTGAGCCTCCTTCTACTTTATTTTATTTTATTTCCTCTCCTTTAGTGCTGCCTGCAACTACTTCCCTGTTGCTGACCAGTGCCGCCCCCTTGGATGGACCATATCAGCTCTAGATTATTAAATATGGTTTTCTGTGGGTGAGTAGATGGCGACTACTGGATGGCATATGTTCTGTATCAGAAACTAGAGCTGATGTGGTCCATCCAATGCAATTTTCTGAATCAGCACCCCAAATAACCAGACCAAATCTAAAATTCACCAAAAACTGATTTGTAATACTTTTGGTAATAATGTTGGAGGGCGGTCCCTGATRGAATTGGTCCCTGGTCAAATGAAGGTTGGGAACCACTGTCCTGTTGAGTTAGACTACTTGATATTACTAGATACTAGACAAATACCCACACTATTAAATGCTACAACCATACCAGACCTATATTGTCATAATGCCATCAATATTGTGATGAATAATGAATTAATTAGATAACCTCACTGTCATATCATCCAGGATTCACACTAAATTCTAGATTGAAGCATCAGATCTAACCAACCATGAATAATCCCACTGACTTTTATCTATAAAATGTATTGCATATGCACATGATGAATAAGAACTATTTCATTATTTATTATAACACATCAATAATTATGTACTCTCAGTGTGAATTAGACTGAATTAGCCTCTTTGCTACTACGTTCTATATCTCTGTCAATAATTTTGCATGAAAAATTCTTTGCTATATTCAGCTTTATGGCTCTTTCCTGACTTATTTTATGAACTTAGTTCGTTCACAATTAAATTTAATTAAACACTTTAATTTAAGATAGAGATAGTGTACAAGCTTCCTTCAAGTTCTGAAAAATGTACCTGGGGCTTATTCCAGAGCAAATTGGATGTAGTAACATATTTGCTTCTACTTGTCTTTAGGAATGTTGTCGGTCACAATCAAAAGGAAAACAAAACTGCAGTTAAAATTGCACAGTTCAGCATGAATTGTTCATTGGGAAATGATGGTTTCTCTGCCTTTATAATTCATGTTGAGATTATATGACCATGCTGCCATGTTTTGGTTGTGCATATGCATTTGGACAGGTGCTACCTTCACAAATGAATGTAATTAAATTAGACTATATGAAAGTAACATTTCTTATGCCCAGAGGTTTGTGATGTCAGTAACTGATCAACAAATTATCACTGTTAATAGTGCAATTATCATTGTCTGTACTACCTATACTTACTTCTAATTATGCATAACATCCCCTATGTATACATATACTATACTCATTATAACATTTTATGCATCAATAAATAGATTTAGTTCACCAAAGGCTCATGCTACAATAGATATTTTAGACTGTCACAGAATAACAATAAAACAACAACAACACTTTATTTATATACCACCCTATCTCCCGAAGTGAACTAAGGGCAGATCACATACACAGCAAACATTCACTGCCATTTTGGATATCTTTTTGAAGCCATGGAAGGTTGTGCTTGAAATCCAGCCACGGGGGTTGCTGTCACTCCACCCTCTATGACAAAGAGCCATCAGGACTTCCTCCTTCCTTTTGGTCGCCCGGATTTTCTGATATTTTTTCTTTATGGTGTCGTAAAATACCTCCCCCACTCGTTTTAGCTGTACCTAATTTCTCTAATTACAGCACAAACTGTTTTTGAACTGCTTAAGTCAACAGTAAGCTGGGCTGACAGTTGGGGCTTCAAACTGGTAACCTTTCGGTTGGTAGATGTTATCATTGCTGGTGATTTACCAGCTGTGCTAAACTCCGCCCCCCAGCTGTGGTCTCTCACTGTGATTTCTGTATTGCCCAGTTAATACATGCTATCAGAACATCAGGTCTAAATAACACTCTACTGTCAAAAGTTCCGTAATCATACATCATTTGCTTTATTGAAATCTAAGTATGTAGGTCTGTGATGGGGCAAGGTCAACTCATTTGTGCACCTGCAAATACCTGTCAACCCTTTAAAAGTTGCTGCATTTCTACTCCCCGTCCCTCAAAATGGGCAATTACTATTCCTTAATGTAATTGCTTCCTTCTGTTTTTCTTCCAAATGTGTTCTATTATAACTCTTATCACAGTTACACCTGAAGGAAATTGGAGCTTTATTCCAGCACTTCTGGGGATCATCAGGTTGGGGAAACTTACTTGATGGGAACAGGAAATAATCTTAGAAATATATCATTATTTTCCCCACCCAGCTGCTTGCACCTCAAACACAGGCTTCTGTAAATGTCATTTATATCCTTATGCTCTGGCAATTCATGTTTTTCATGCCATGCTATTACTTTACCTATACGCTGGATATAGAAACAGGCATAACCTATAAGAGGTGCATATTAAGAAAACAACCAAATGTATGGTAGAAATGTGTTTCTTATTAATTGGGAGACTTGTGTACAGGTGGGAGACAAACAATTGCGCTAGAGGTGTGCTTTTTGATAAAACGATAGATGTCTGCCGACCAATCTCAGAAAGCACCAGGGCTATATTCAGAATCATCAGAATACTTATTAAAATCTTTTCGCTCCATCTTCCATTATGAAATCTCAATTTAAACAAGGTATAATCTCCACAAAACACAATAAAAAAAAAAACAGACTGGAACAGCTACATTTTAAAAGCCTGTTAAAAAACCTGGCAGAGACCAAGCCTTGTACCACGTACACATTTCTTGTTATGATTTTCTATAAATATGTGGATGCATAGAAACGTATTCTCTTTCTTGCGCCTCATAAACTAATAAATCAAGAAGGGAAAGTGCAGTCCCTGAAGCCCTCTGACACTTTTCAGAGGCAATTTTTCACCTTCCCTAAAATATAATATTGGCTCAAAAGGCCATTAAAATTGCCCTCCAATGTCCCAGATTCCAGATAGCTATACAACACCTCAAGATTGGCTGAAATTGATCCCAGAAAAGATGTCACTCTACTTGCATCAGGGATTGTGGGAAGGAGAGGCATTATTTACTTAGACTTGCATTTAAGTATAGGGCAAGAAACACATGCCTTGTTTGAAAAGGAAAACATCCTAATGAGGACAAAAATGTTGCTTTCTCTCATTGGAGAGGGATAGTTTTATACTCACATAAACTTCTCACTAATACACATGGACCTGCAGGGAAAGAACCATCTAGGGATGTAGACTGAGATGCTGCCAATATGTAGATATGGTACTCTTTCTCCTGTTTATCTAATACAAGCAAGGCAGCTGACATCCTGAAGCAATGTTTTGATAAAATGATGGATTGAATGACATCTAATTTAGATGGAAATATTATTTGTAGATGGTGTGCCTGTTTGACTAAGTGGTGTTTGTTCTGTCCTGTCTTTTGGAACAAGTCCACTGTAAGAGGGGTTGCTGTACAAACTACAGTAGAGTCTCACTTTTCCAACATAAACAGGCTGGCAGAACGTTGGATAAGCAAAAATGTTGGATAATAAGGAGGGATGAAGAAAAGGCCTATTAAACGTCAAATTACGTTATGATTTTACAAGTTAAGCACCAAAACATCATGTTTTATAAGAAATCGACAGAAAAAGCAGTTCAATACAAGGTAATGTTATGTAGGAACTACTGTATTTATGAATTTAACACATTGCAATGTATTGTAACAGCTATGCATCCGAGTGGGAGGCCAACTGCGTTGGATAATACAGGACGCTGGATGAGCAAAGGCTGGATAAGTGAGACTCTACTGTATCAACATCATTATCATCGGACAAAAGCAGCTTCAAACTGACACAGTAACAATAAACTTACTTGGTCAAAGAAAAGCCTGCAAACACGCATGCTCTGGTAATCTCCTTGTTCAGATTATTGGAATGCTTATACATAGCTGTTTTTAAACATTCGGTGAGTTCAAAAATGAGTATGCAGGCTCTTAACTGAATCGATACATTAATATTATCCAAAACCTGTAATTTGTACTCATTTCCAGGCAAAATCCAATTTAATGACTCTAAATTTGTAAATTGTCTCTTCCCATATTTGCCTACTCATTGTTTAATATAATGTTCCAAAGCCTTCCTTCAGGTACTTCTATCAAATAAAAAGAGGCAGGTGGCATAGGAGAAGGTCCCTTTCCTGTTCCATTGCTCTTTAAAAAGCCTTGCCTGGTGTCTGTAGTTTGGTGTTTTATGCAATAGCAGTTGAAGACCATTCTATTGATTACTTTTGATGTCTTTCAGATCTTCTTAGTTCTGTTTTGCATATGTAATGGCATCTTGAGATACACCTACACTGTAAAATTAACACCATTAAATTTAATATGGTGGCTCAATGTTATGGAGTCATGGGATATGAAATTTGGTGAGGCTCTAGTATTATTTTGGCGGAGAAGTCTAAGATCCCCCCCGCAGCAACCAGTCAGACTTTGAAGCTGCAAGGCCATCTAATGCTAACCAAGGTGATCAGCGGCAACATTCACACTTGCCCCAAGCAGACAAAGAGTTCTTTCTTCCACACTGCACAGTCCACAGATATATAAACCTCACTTGTCTAGTTTCCAACAGACCTCACAACCTCTGAGGATGCCTGCCATAGATGCAGGCGAAACATCAGGAAAGAATGCTTCTGGAATATGGTTGTACAGACTCAAAAACTCACAACAACCAAGCCTAAGAACCTTGTAAAACCACAACTCCTAGGATTTCATAGCACTGAGCCATGTCAGTGAAAGTGATGTCAAACTGCAATAATTCCACAGTGTGGATGCACCCTTTGAGGAAATGGTGGCGGGGTATAAAGATTATTATTATTATATGTCGTCAATCATGTTATATCATATGTATATCATCCAGAACACTCTGATTTGGCTGTAGTTTATAGTGTATATAATCAATCAAATGGAGGAGTTGGACTACCCCTACTGTTCTGATCTCTTTGGAAGGTGAGATCAAAAATGTAATCAAAATAATGAACAACAGCTTTCAGAATATACAATATACGTATCAGAGTAGGTGTGGAGAGATGAAGTGACAGATAGGATCAAAATAGTACAGCCAAAAAGTGTATATTTCCTCCCAAAAGAGACTCAAATATTGACAGAAAGGAGTCATGCTGTGGGCGGCCCCTCAGGTAGTTCATTTCCTCATCAATCGGGGAAAAATAATCCGAAGGTAAACGGAGCCAAGAGAGGACAAAATTCGAGACAAGGGAATCCCGATCTTGCAGAGACTGGCAGTTGTCTGGGAGCATGGCAAGAAGGCGAAAAAGGGCCAGGAACGCCCCCACGCTCTATGCAGAGAAAGCCTATTGTTTCCTTTCGGTTCCCAAATCCACCATAACAGCCAAGGACTTCCTACCTTCTCCTCATCCGTCACCCGATCCTCAAAGTCCGCCATCTTGGCTTCTCTAAGCACACACAGGCAAGCCCCACCTGTCACCGCCGCGCAAAGGGCGCTGGGAAGGGGGCGTGGCCCAACGTGGGCGAAGCGGTGTTCTGCAATCAACGTCGAGCGCTCAGTGAAATGTCTTAGGAGGCCATATTGAGTATGGGCAAACGGGCTCTTTAAGGCAAAGGGGGTTGCACTTCAGGGACGCCATTTTTGATCAGGGCACCGTAGTGGGAAGGCTTGATTTGGCGCTTCAGTCACGCCCATAGAAAGAAATCCCCTTTCTCAGACTTCCTCTTCTTGCTCAGGTTACAGTGGACAGAGTGTTAGACTCACTCCTTCACGCAGTAATAACTTAAAACACATTGTATTCATCTTGCCAAAGTAGGAAATACGCACACCATATAATGTGTTTCATTTGTAATTTAATTTTATTAATTTATCCTACTATGCTCCCAGTAGTGCGACTAGGGGGGGGGGGGGTATATTAGAAACTGGTTTGCTGTGAATTTTCCGGGTTGTATGGCCATGTTCCAGAAGCACTCTCTCCAGACGTTTCACCCACATCTATGGCAGGCATCCTCAGAGGTTGTGAGGTCTGCTGCAAACTAGGCAAGTAGGGTTTCTATATCTGTGGAATGTCCAGGTTGGGAGAAAGAACTCTTGTCTGTTTGAGGCAGTTGGCCAGCTTGATTAGCACTGAACAGCCTTGCAGCTTCAAAGCCTGGCTGCTTCCTGCCTAGAGGAATCCTTTGTTGTTAAAATCATAACAAGAATCAATTAATACACAACTTATCTTCTATAGAGTTAAACAGCCCTGATTATTTCTTGTCTGGAATTCCCCTGTTTTTTTAGTGTTGTTGAAAGAGTGTTGTTTCCTCCTGTTCAAGGCGCTCCATTGGCTGCCGTTCATTTTCCGGGCCCAATTCAAGGTGCAGGTGCTTACCTACAAAGCCCTAAACGGTTTGGGACCCCTCTACCTGCGTGACCGCATTTCTGTATACAAACCCACACGATCTCTTTGTTCATCTGGAGAGGCCCTGCTCACGATCCCACCTGCATCACAAGTGCGATTGGTGGGGACGAGGGACAGGGCCTTTTCGGTGGTGGCCTCGCGACTCTGGAACTCCCTCCCCAAGGACATCAGGCAGGCCCCAACGTTGGCAGTCTTTAGAAGGAGCTTGAAAACGTGGCTGTTCCAGTGTGCCTTCCCAGAATAAAGAAACTCGAGGCAATATGCCCCTCAATGCTCTTTAGGAGAGACTTAGAACTGTCTGCACGCCCATCTATCCCAAAAATATCCTTCTATTTCCCTTGGACATGTCCAGCATTTTTAAATTTTTAATTCTTACATTTGGCCCTGCCACAGGTTTTTAAAATGTGTCGTGTTATTATTGTATTGTTTTGCTTTTATGAGTTATTTATTGTTGTGTTGTTGTTGTTATGTTTTATGATGTATTTGGGCTCGGCCTCTTGTAAGCCGCACCGAGTCCTGCGGGAGATGGTAGCGGGGTATAAATAAAGGTTTATTATTATTATTATTATTATTGTTGTTGTTCTTTATTTACTGTCGTGATTTTAGAGTTTTTTTTTAATATTTGTAGCCAGATTTATTTCATTTCCATGAACAAAATCTGACTACCAAAATATTCATGCCGGCTGTTAGGAATTGTGGGAGTTGTGAGTCCAAAACACCTGGAGGGCCAAAGTTGGTTCTTGCCTAGTGGAGCAGCAAACTATAACTCCCAGGATTCCATAGCATTGAGCCATTGCAGTTAAAGTGGTGTTAAAACTATGCTAGTGTCATTTAGCACAGGCAAACTTTGGTCCTCCAGGTGTTTTGGACTCACAACTCCCACAATTCCTAACAGCCTACCGGCTGTTAGGAATTGTGGGAGTTGGGAGTCCAAAACACCTGGAGGGCCAAAGTTGGCTCGTGCCCAAGGGAGCAGCAACTGGAGCCTGAGAGGGAGGCGCGCGCCCGCCCAAGCCCCGCCCACCGCAGCCCCGCCCACCGCTCCTCTCCTCCTCCTCCTCCGCGCGGCCTCAGTCATGGCGGAAAGCGGCGCCGGGGACGGGGACTTGCCGCCTTCTCCTTCTTCTCCGCCGCCGCCCCCTTCGCCCGTGAGCCGCTTCCCGTGGCAATGGGAGCGGCTGAGGCTGGCGGCGGGACCCTGGGCCCGGAGCCTGGGCTTGGTGGCGGTCCTCGGCCTGCTCTACTGCCTGAGGGGCCCGCTTCGCTTGAGGGACAACCTGGCGGCAGGTGAGGGACTCAGTCTGTGAGGCCAATTGAGGAGGGGAAGGAAGGGGGTGGGCAGGGTCGATAGAAGGATAGAAGGAAGGAAGGAAGGTGTGTGGCACAGAAGGGGCACCACATGGCTCAATACTGTGGAAACTTGGGAGTTGTAGTTTGGGGAGGCACCCGCCCTCTTTGCCAGTGAAGGTTGAAGGCCTTGTAAAACACAGTGCCCATTATCCCAGGCATGAGCAAACTTGGCTCCTCCGGGTGTTTTGGACTTCAGCTCCCACAATTCCTAACAGTAGGCTGTGAGGAATTGGGGGAGTTGTAGTCCAAAACACCCAGAGGGGCCAAGTTTGCCCATGCCTATACAATCCCATCGCATTGAGGCAGGGCTGATTGAAAAAGGCGGGGAGGGGGGAGCCAAACTGCATTAATTCAACAGTGTAGATCAGGGGTCCTCAAACTAAGGCCCGGGGCTGGATACGGCCCTCCAAGGTCGTTTACCTGGCCCTCGCTCAGGGTCAACCGAAGTCTGAAACAATTTGAAAGTACACGACAACAACAACAACACTATCTCATCAGCCAAAAGCAGGCCCACACTCCCCATTGAAACACTCATAAGTTTATATTTGTTAAAATTGTTCATCATTTTAATTGTTGCATTGTTTTAAAGTGTTTTTTGCACTACAAATGAGGCTTTTATATCCCGTCCTTTCTCAAACTCCTCAGAGGGACTCAGGACGGCCAAGTTTGCACATGCCTACACTATCCCATAGCATCAAGGCAGGGCTGATTAAAAGAGGCGATGAGGGGGGAGTCAAACTGCATTAATTCAACAGTGTAGATGCACCCACAGAGTGAGCATCCCTTATTTGGAATCCTAGCATCCTCTAAATCAGGGGTCCTCAAACTTTTTAAACAGAGGGACAGGTCACAGTCCCTCAAACTGTTGGAGGGCCCGATTATAATTTGAAAAAAATATGAATGAATTCCTATGCACACTGCACATATCTTATTTGTAGTGCAAAAAACACTTTAAAAACAATACAATAATTAAAATGAAAAACAATTTTAACAAATATAAACTTATTAGTATTTCAATGGGAAGTGTGGGCCTGCTTTTGGCTGATGAGATAGGATTGTTGTTGTTGTGTGCTTTCAAGTCATTTCAGACTTAGGTTGACCCTGAGCAAGGGCCAGGTAAATGACCTTGGAGGGCTGTATTCGGCCCCTGGTCCTCAGTTTGAGGATCCTTGTCTTAGAAGATAGACAGAGTGAGCATCCCTTATTTGGAATCCTAGCATCCTCAAAATTGTCTACCTGATTGGCTGAGGTAATGAGGAACTTCTTTGCAATTTTGTACACAAACTTTGGGCACATCTACACCAGGCATGGGCAGACTTGGCCTCTCCGGGTGTTATGGACTCTTACTCCCACAATTTCTAACAGCCTACTGTTAGAAATTGTGGGAGTTGAAGTTCAAAACACCCAGAGGAAAGAATGCTTCTGCAACATAGCCATACAGCCCAGAAAAGTCACAGCATCCCAGTCGGTAAACTGGCTGAGATTTCTGGGAGCTGAAGCCCAAAACACCCGAAGGGCCAAAGATTGCCCATGCCTGATCTACCCTGTCGGATTAGTGCAACTTGAGACCACTTGAACTGTCAAGGCACAATGCTATGGAATCATCGGAGTTGGACCTTGTAAATCTACAGCTCCCAGGATACCATAGCATTGAGCCATTATTATTATTATTATTATTATTATTAGTTCATTTTTATCCTGTTTTTCTCCTATGGTTAGGATTCAAAGTGGTGTACTATAGTTAAAAACAGAAATTATATAACATAAATACAAACAAAAAAATCATAAACCAAATACACAAATTGCACACTACATAAACCATATATAACAAATCAATAAATTGCGACATTAAAAAACTCCCTGAACCTCCGGCCACTGAGGTTATTCATAAAACAAATTGTACTAAGATCTTAAAAACATAATTTCCATTGGGCTTTGCAACTACTTTGCCAAGTTCAAAATAGCATTCGGAGATGGATATTACCAGTAGCTATCTGACGGTTGCCTATTATAAGTTGTCAGTAAAGACCTGGTTCCACAGAAAGGTTTAAATTTGTGAACAAAAGGCCAGCAAGGAGGGAGACGATCGCACCTCTCTAGGAATCATGGCAGTTAAAGTTGTGTCAAACTGCATTAATTCTACAGGTTAGATCAGGTATGGGCAAACTTCAGCCTTCCAGGTGTTTTGGACTTTAACTCTCAAAAATCTCAGCCAGTTTACCAGCTGTTAGGAATTGTGGGAGTTGAAGTCCAGAACACCTGGAGAGCCCAAGTTTCCCTATGCCTGGGTTAGATGCACCCAAAGTTTCATCAATAAAATTATTAAATATGTTGTGTATGAAATTAGATGTATACAAAACACAAATGAATGTTGTGTTTAGACTTGGGTTCCATCTCCAAGATAGGTCCTTATATAGATGTGCTTTCCAATACAGATATTCCAAAATCCAAAACTGTTCTGGTCCCAAGCATTTTGGATGAGGGATGTTCAACTGTACTGGGGCCTGCTTGGAAGTTAAACAGCTGCTGCAACTTTTTCAGCCCTTGTCTTAATCCACTCTCCAAACTGTACTTGTGAGAGAGGTGTGGAAGACTCAGTACATGCTCCAGTGCTTGTCTTTCCTATTTTATTCATTCTAGGACTACTTTTATTGTCCAGCCCTTAGGGTGATGGACGGTCCGGGAATGTTGTTGCCCCTTGGCAATCTAAAACTTTGGGTGTTATTTTTCGAGGAGAGGTTTGCAAAAACATGGATAAAGGTCTAGATCAGGCAGGATTTGTTCTTGGGATACCTCTGTATTGCTATTGCTTTGTGGGCCTCTAGTGTGTTTGCTCCCCAGAGACCTGACTGTTTCCAGTCATGTAAGCTATTAGAATTCCCACTTTTGCTATATATGTCTATTCTCTTTCTAATTATTGTAACCGGTGTTACATTTTCCTCTTCCCCTTAAGAGTTTTCAGAAATATTTTTTTCTACTGAGACTCATCAAAACAGAGACTGACCTATTGAGTTGAGAGCCAACTGTATACGACTTCTAACAAGTTATTAATACACAGTTTTAGTGCCACCTGTTCTTTGCATGCTCTTTGGGGGGAGGGGGTATTGTCTGTAGGATTTACTTAGGCAAGGAATATTCAGAGGTGATTTTGCCAACCCCTTTCTGTAGTACCCAATGGGTTTGTTGTTGTTGTTCATTCGTTC